TGACAGGTGGCAGGTGGCAGAGGTGCTGGGTGGAGGAGGTAGGGAGGGAACAGGTAGTGTCAAAGTCTAGTTTTATGTTCCTCAAGACCCTCATAGGCTTCTTCCTGGTTTATTTATTTATTTATTTAGACAGAGTCTTACTCAGTTGACCTGGGTTTGAGTGCCATTGTGTTATAGCTCTCAGCAACCTCAGCCTCTTGGGCTCAAGGGATCCTCTTGCCTCAGCCTCTGGAGTAGCTGGGAATACAGGTGTCCACCATAAGTCCCAGAGATTTTTTTTTTTTTAATTTGAGAAGGGACTCTTGCTTTTACTCAGACTGGTGTCCAACTCCTGAGCTCAGGCTACCCACCCACCTCAGCCTCCCAGAGTGCTAGGATTATAGGCATGAGCCACCACACCTGGCCTTCCTTCCTGGCTTAGAAGGCACAAGCTAGACACAAGAAAGTTAAATAACAATAAAAGATGTAAATAAGATTCAATACAGTGGAAGCTGAGTTACATAGTATGATTAGTAATCAAATGTCTGATTAGCAATTGCCACAAAATTTCTAAAGAGAAAGAGTGGATTATACTGTGCATTTGCCTAGAGCTTAACAGTTGCCAGTGCTTTCCTGTATGTCTTCAGGGTGGTCACAGAGGCCCTATGTGGGAGGGGAAGAAGGGTAGGCTCTGCATAAGGGGAGCTGATGGGATTTGTGTGTGCACAGAGGTCCATGGCATTACACATAGCCCAGGCCTGAAGGAGCATCCAATTCTCCTCATTGAGGAGCCCCGGCAGCTTGTGATGTTTGTGAGGATGGAGACTTGCAACCAAGGGACCCTGGGGTTCCAGGGAGACCAACGTTCTAGATCTACAGGTGTTTGAACATGTGCTACATATGCTTTTTATTTTTATTTATTTATTTATTTATTTGTCACCCTCAGTAGAGTGTTATGGCATCATAGCTCACAGCAACCTCAAACTCTTGGGCTTAAGAGACTCTCTTGTGTCAGCCTCCCAAGTAGCTGGGAATACAGGTGCCTGCCACAACACCCAGCTATTTTTTTTTTTTTGTAGCTGTCATTGTTGTTAGCAGGCCTGGGCCAGGCTTGAACCCGCCAGCCCTCTTATACGTGGCTGGCTCCATAACCACTGAGCTACAGGCGCCAAGCCTACATATGCTTTTTAAGTGAACTCTTCTTATCTGTGAAAGTAAACTCAGAGGGGAAAGACATATAGCTGACCTGGGACTGACCAGCTGTGTGGCATTGGACACCTTGCTTAGTTTCTCTCTAAGAGAGACACCTTGCTTTGTTCCTCTTTAAAATGAGAAGAATAAATAACCTCCCTGGTCTTTTCTGATTGGAAAATTCTTTGATTCTAAGCATTCTACAACTACCCGCATTTTTGTTTTTCTTTTTGAGACAGAATCCCACTGTATTGCCCAGGCTAGAGTGCTGTGGTGTCAGCCTAGTTCACAGCAACCTCAAACTCCTGGGTGGAAGCCATTCTCCTGCCTCAGCCTCCCAGGTAGCCTGCCACAACACCTGGCTAATTTTTCTGTTTTTTAGTATAGACAGGGTCTTGCTGTTGCTTAGATGGTCTCAAACTCTTGAGCTCAAGTGATCCTCCCACCTCAGCCTCCCAGATTGCTAGGATTATAGGTGTGAGTCACTGCAGTTGGCCTAACTACCTATTTTTGAAAAATCAGATTTTTTGGTATCAGTTTATGTCTTTATTTCGGATCTTCTTTCCCTCATTACTAAACTTAAAAATAAATTGCCATTATATTTGGTCATTTGGACTCACACAATGTCCTTGGGTTGGAGTCAACCCAAGTACATAGATGGAAGTGGCAAAATAAGGGTTTACCGAATCCTCTTCAGCACCAGCTCTTTGAACAAATGTTTTCAACACAGACCTATATCTCTACTATATCCCTACTAAGTGCCAGGCATGGGTGAGTATTTAATGAATGATGTACATTCCCTATCTCCAAGGGAACTTCTGCCCATCTCCACCATTTGGGGGATGTCTAGGCACATGTGTGGCAGTCAGCAAATGTGTGTTGAACAGAAAGAAACTCCTAAGGCACTGCAGGAAAGGGACTTGTATGAGGTTGAAATGTATCCAGGGAGGGGAGGGCATGCACCATTTCATAGTTAAAGTCTCTTGGACATCTGGCCCCAGTAGAAAAGTCATTTTCTTCCACAGGTAGAAATAACTTCTGCCCTACTGCTCCCCAGAGATCCTCCCCACTGTGAGGATGGGGTGGGGGTGGGAGCAGCACTTAGTTGCTCCCTACAGTCAAGGTCATTTGAGAGCTAAAGGGAAATTTGGTAGTACACTCAAAAAAGACCTGAATTTAAGAGATGTCAGGTTGTTTGGAGTTTCTTAGGCAGGAAAAAGGCCACACTGTGCCACTCGGGCAATGGGGAAGCATTGGACCCTCTCTCCTACAGAATGCTTGTGCTCAGGATCAAGTTGAGCGTGGATTGGGGCCAAAAAGGAGAAGGGTGCGTTGGAACCGTGGGTGTTGCCTTAGGTGAGCTGTGTGTTCTGATTTGCAAGGGGACCCAAAACCAGCTAACTCCTTCCTTTTCTTTCCCTCCAACAGCTAAACACCAGCTCCCCTCACCGGGAGCTTCTCAAGCTTTTTTTTTTTTTTTTTTTTTTTTTTTTGAGACAGAGCCTCAAGCTGTCCCCCTGGGTAGAGTGCCGTGGCATTACAGCTCACAGCAACCTCCAACTCCTGGGCTCAAGCGAGTCTCCTGCCTCCGCCTCCCAAGTAGCTGGGACCACAGACGCCCGCCACAACGCCTGGCTTTTTTTTGGTTGCAGCCATCATAGTTGTTTGGCGGGCCCGGGCTGGGGATTCGAACCCGCCACCTTAGGTGTACGTGGCTGGCGCCTTAGCCGGTTGAGCTATAGGCGCCGAGCCAACTTCTCAAGCTTTGTTAGAGCTTCCAGAAGGCTTTGCTAGTCACAGAGGAAGAGCAGCTGAGTGCCATGAAGAATCATTTCATTGTGAACCCACAGGCTATCTGGATTCATCATCAGAAAGGACTTGGAGGTGGGCTGGCACCCTCTCAAGTTCAGGAGCTCAGTGATGACAGCCTGTTCCAGGTCCACTTCCTGCTCCTTTGGAGAACAAGTCTTGTTGGGGGTGGGGTAATTACCTTGTCTCCCCCCTTTTCCCATTAAGTGAGCCTCACTGCCAGATCACCTTCCCCAGGACCGCTGCTCCAACAGCCACAATGCTTTCTGTCACCTTCTCTGCTGGAGAATCCCTGTGTCTGGTGTCAAGATCGCTCACAGCCTGGATCCCCTACACCTTGTCTTTTATTTCCTTTTCATGTGCCATCCTTTGGTGTTCTGGGGCCCTTTACTAAAAAGGCTGCAGAAATAGTGGGGTACTCTGTACCAAGCAAATGTGTGAATAAAGTCTTAGGTTGGTACCTGGGTTCTAACAGTCCAGAGAAGAAAGTTCTGACACAATATTGCCCCCATTTTAGTTGTTTGACACTGGTCCACAGTCACAAAGCTTTATTGTGACTGTTAAACAATAGGATTAGTCATGAAATCACTACCTCTTTAAATATTTGAAAGTTGAATGGAAAAAAAATGTTGAAATAGATCTGGGGTGGTGGTGGTAAATTGAATTAAGTAGTTAACTGTACTCCAAGTTCAGGGACAAGACAAGTGGCTTGGAAAGTCGGTTTTCCAGACAAGAGGGAGGGGTGGTGTGAAACTAACGAAGAGCAGTCCTCCTACTAGGTGCATTTTCCCTCCATTGTATGCTCCCTTCCCAAATCGCCAGCGCCGGGAAGGTCCAAGGGAGGCCTGAGTTGAAGGCAGTGGTGTTGCAGAGTTTGTAGCTTTGTCGTTGGTAAATAATGTGACAGGTTAGTTACACAGGCCCAGAACGATGGAAGATTCTGGTAGCGGGTCGATCACATTTCGGGGGGAGAATTCACCCTCTGTGACCTGTAGGGGGGCAGGTGGATCATCAAAAGAGGCTCTGGCTTTAAAGATTTGGCCCCTTCCCCGTTCCCATCTCCTGGGGGGGGGGGTTCTGGGCACGAACAGCCGGGCAATAAACTACTTTTCATTAAAGAGATCTGGGGGATACAAGTGGTAGGGGGAGGTAAGATCTCTTTCATTAAAGAGATCTGGGGGATACAAGTGGTAGGTGGGGACAAAAGGGCACAAATCCACTCCGAGACGGATAGCCAGGATGGGGGCGCGTTGGGTTCACTTTCCCCCGCTCCTCCTCCCTCCAAAGCCACCTAGAGGTTTTGTGCCGCGGGAGCTAGCCTGGTGCTGCGCCAGGCCGCGGGCTGCGCTCTCGGCTCGGGTGGGGG